GATCTATCCTCTTGCTCCTGGTACCAAAAAGTATGTGGCTCCTCGTCAACTCGCCCGGTGCAGCCACCTGACCCTCGAGTTGCACTCGCTGCGGTCCGACAAGCTGCGTCGCGTCGTCGCGCGAATGCTAGGATTATTTCTGGTGCGTGAAACGGTGAGCTACATTCGATTTTGCGCGTCCACGTTCGCCACTCGTTAACCCAGAAAAATCGACTCGGCTATAGGCGATTTGCGAGAGCGACTCGCCTCTCCCCTCTGGCGTCATCGTCGGCACACGCGCGTGCATCGTTCGAGAAAGGTCAGAAGACTCTTCGCAGGCCAGAATCGCGGCACTTCTGTCGCGAGGGCACTTGACGATGACTAATCGTCGTGACATTATTTCGGCCCACGACCGACGCCGGGATTTGTTGGTTAGAATTCATTGAAAACTCTCTCCACCCCGTTGCGCGTCGTCGTGTTTGTTTCGTCACGCGTAAGTAAGCGTCTAATTAACTCGCCCACGTAGCGCGGCGCAATTTGCTTGAACGGAAGGAAAGGAAAGGGGGAACGGGACGCCTAACGCAGAAAAAAAAAAAAAATAAAACGAACGACGGTTATTAACTCGTTAAATTGATATTTACGTATCGCACTCCAATATCCGCGAGTGAGAAACCGGTGGGGCGACGGTTGTCGTTGATTTCGTGGATGGAGTTTATTTTAATGCCTGATTGCGCGTATCGGAAGGTTCACTGTTGGTTAGTTTCTACATTAGGAACAACCCTCAGGGGCTGCAGTTATGTTTGATCGTAGCTACGGTACGGGTTTAGCAATCTCCCGAGGTACCCGAGCTGTAATAGAGCTGGTGGGCCCTTTTAGACTACTGGCGTCTCTAATGGGAGAATTATGGAGAGATTTACATAACTTTTTCATTTTGGGAGCCTATAGTCTAATGAAAAATAACAATTAACTATAACATACATGTTATGTAGTGTAAAAGATGAGACATGCTTGCATTTAAGTTTCATATGAGCGGGAGTCATCAAGAAGGTTTTTCCGGTAAACCTCGACTCGATTAGTTCCCAATTTCTAACGGTATGCTAGCTTATCTAAACCGCTTAAAATCGTTTCTCGCTGTTTAGATAAGCTAGCATTCTTTTGCACGCTAATGCTAAAATCCTTTACACGTAATGTTCGGAAATCGGGACCGCCGTTTATCAATATGCGAGACACAGGTGGAGATTTTTCCCTCGGAACTGGTAGAACTCAAACAGACCGCTCGAAGAGGACAGTGAATGGGATACAGCGTCGAGCCTTAATTCTTAGCTTAATTAGTCGCCTGAAGTGTATTACTACAGAATAATGATCGTACACAAGTTTCACTTGGAGGCGGTACCTTTGATGTAGCTGCCACGAGATACGTTCTTTATATACGAGTGCGCATCCCTTTTACGCATGACGGCCGTTTTAAATCGGGTTAAGACATAACCTCAATTACAACGTGAAAGATTTTATGATGAACTATTGGATTGTACGGAAAATAATTTCGTCTCTTTCTTTGTGAGAAAAAAAAACACAGTTTCCTTATATTTTTCATTGTTTCTTTATATAAACGTTTCATTGAATTGTATGGAAGAATCTTCCAGCAATTCTTTCGCTTATATTCGGGACGAAATTTTTGCGTATAGCCGGGCACCGCTATAAACTTGGTCGTCGCGCGTACTTCGTGGAACGAGACTCCGAGCATAATCTACACGTATCCCTCTCCTTTTTGCCACCAACCTCGTCGTCTCGCCGGACGTTCATATACTTACGTAAATGAACGAACAAGCGCGTGGTTATCAGACGAAAGCCGATGTAAGCACATACTCGACGGGCCAAGAAACAGATAACAATTTTTATCTGACCACCCGTCTTCGAGCCATCGTTCTCTTTCGCCTTCTGGACTCCAATACACTTTGCCATTTCGTCGGAGCTAGCCTGATTCTCGGCTTTCTAACGCGACGCGGTAGCCGGAAGCTCGTGCACGCGTGTGCACTCGGTGAATTTGTTATGACGGAATCACGTGTTACGTTCTTCTTGGAAAAGCGCGCGCGTTTTTTCTCGATTATACCGGGAAACGCGACGTCGACGCGTGAACGACGCGTTCGACTGGAAACTGAGAATTTTATGAGACGTGGAGGGGCAAGATACTTATTTACACATTTATTTATGGGTAACTTAACAGAATATATTACATTTATGCAACGTTTATTTTCAGTTTAAGACTGCACAACATTTTCAATGTATATATATATATCATTTTATGACCATAGAGGTTAGAAATTTTAAGGGGTGATTCTACATTCTAAAGTGAGACGAAAAGCAAGAATGAGAATATTTGATTAGAGACTTCGTTTTCAAGTAATTAATTGTTGAAGGTACTTATAGACGGAGTCTGACGCGAAGGACTTATACTAGTGCCAGCTGACGCGTGACAGTGCCGCAACCTTCTATGAAAGGGCCCCACTTACCTGATAAGTGGACGTAATCATTTAAATCACTTATAATGTTATAATTCTTTGTAAAATGCATTATGTAGTGCATTTGTTTAAGTTAGAGTCATACATGACCGAGTATAAAGACACCTAAACTTTACTATTAAACGAACTGAAAGGCATACATAAAAATTTCGTAAAAATTAGAACTATTGGTCTCGGAAGTGTCCGATTGGGTACGAAAATGACTCTAAATGAAAAAAAGATGAGAATTTCTCAGTGCACCGTGCCTCCCACCTTATCTGTCGTATAGCGTTCTCTCTCTCGTTCCCCTTTGACTCCAAATCTTCAGTTCATCTCTCTCTTTCACTCTCTCTCTCACACACGCACACACACACACACACACACACACACACACACACACACACACACACATCGATTCTTAATATTCCCTCTCGTTTTGACTTGCTGTTTCTAAAATCTTTCCTTCTCGGTGACTGTGAAATCTTCCCTCTCTCGGTCCTGCACTCTTTTCTGCCTAGCCGCAGCTGTTTCCGTCTGTTATCTCCCTCTCTCGCTCTCCCTGCCCGACTCTCTCGCACTCCCCCACCCCGCGGGCGCTTCGTGCGAGCCGCGAGAGAGTAACTCGACTCGGCTCCGGCAGTCGCGGTTAAACTCGCGCGGGAGACGTTTGAATGTGTGCAATTTCGTGCGTCGCGCGCTTTATTCGTACACGAGCGGACAAAAAGATTGCCTCCTTCCTCCGTAACGGTCACCTTTTTCGTTTCGCGGGCCGCCAGTGTCGCTCTCAGCGCACCAAGTGAAACCGTTTATCGTAAACAAACCGACTCGTGCATTCGCGAGGCGGATCGCCAGTTGTACGCCACAGTACGCGACGCGTCGCCAAGAATCGGCGAACTGTTTACTGCGTCGATCACTGATCTCGACCCGATAAAAAATCCCTCGAAGATATCCGCTGCAAGATGACCGCCGTCGCGCCGATCGACGATTTCCTGCGACGCTGTTTTCAACGAATCGCGAACGCACGTTGCAACGCGGAACGAGGAGGATAATTGCATCATTTTATGGGCATACGTGTCTGTAATCATGTGCGGATAGATTAGTTCGATGTTTCGGTGCGCGCATATGTTAACGAGTTCGAAAGGTTTCGGGGCGAAAGTGTATAATAGTTTGGTATTTTTAAAATGATGCGTTCGAAAGACAGTTCGGAGTGATTTGCAAAGGCTATTTTATTATTTGGTTCGGATACGAGATAATTTCGGAGTGCTCGGATACAAGATACTCCAAATTTCCGCTGAAACATCTCTGTAACGCAAAGTGACAATTTTATTATTCGTTCCGATACGAGATAATTTCGGAGTACTCGGATAGAAGATGCTCCAAATGTCTACATTCAGATGTTTGTAACGCGAAGTGACAATTCCGACGCAGTTTTGGACGAACGGTGATTCCACAGTACGAAATCCCTCGGGTAAAGATAATTACATCATAGGTACACAAGCCACGTACCAGCGTGTGCGAACATACATATACACATCACGAGATTCCATATCTTTGAAATATTAAACAAAACTCGTATTCGAAGATAATTCGATCGCTTTCGCGTCGTAAAAGTGACTCCAAGTGGCCATTCGGATACAAGAAAATATCCGCTGGAATTCACTGGTAGACGCTTCGACGGATATCCGGCGCGATCTCGACGTTGATCGATGCCGTTCGACTCTGAATCGAAGTCTGGTGACACAGAAGCGAGAAGGTAAACAAGCTTGCGCGCGCGCGCGCGCGAGCGAGCGCGCACCACCGTGCACGCTTGTGAAATCGCGGTGTTCCGGATGTCGAAGTGACATCGATCCTCGAAATCGAACGGAATTCGACTCGTTCTCGTGGCCCGAGGTCTCGCGGATACGTTCGCCGACATTGGAAAAAGAAGAATCGGAGAAACTGACGGCGTCACGTCCTCGAAGATACGACGCACGATTGGCGCCTTTTTTCTTTCAAACGGAAAGAAGACGAGCATCAGCGGCGCGAGGACAGGGGAATGCTCGTAAATCAGAGCTTCCCGTTCGTACCCTTTGTCGGAGGAAGAATAACTCAAACGTCGATTCGAACGCGAAGGAGCCGCTCGAGATACTGTTTGGACGTCAGCTGTTCGTTCCACGACTGCAGTGGACACGCGAGAATTATCGTTGGGGGTCGATTCGCTGAAAAAACATCCGCGTGTTTGAAACGTTACCAAAAAAGAATTGACTCAAAATTGGATCGGACGCGAAGAAGTTGCGCTACTGTCTAGACGTCAGCTATTTCTACTATTAGTAAAGTATATTCACTGAAAAAAAATCGAGTCGAAGAAGGTTCATAGTTGGTACCCTTACGCGTACCTTGCAATCGTTAGGTCTGCGTACTTGAGACGTTACAAATAATGTGTACACAGTGAGATTAAAAATTGCGAACTTTAATAGTGCTTCTCTTTCAACGCCTTACAATATTTCTTCAGAGATGCCCAATGAGAAAGCTTCTATAAAAATGTCGTCAAGTCTGTCAAAAAAAGAAATCGGTAATCGTTTCGAAAGGACTTTCCAGAAAATTGGCTCAGAATCCGAGATCCTCGTAGCCAATTAACCGTTCGATCGTTCGAATTGGTCAGCGTTGCGTATCGAGGATCGTTAATTGTTCGCGGAACGATCGCCACGCTCGGAGCACGACCGGTCAAGGCGTCTTCCACGAAACGATTTCACGATTAATACAGCGTTCGGCGAACAGCGCTCGGGGGAACCACCCAGTTCCACGGTGCGTGTCGTGAGTTGGTTTTCCGTGCTGTGTTAACAATTAGTGCCACGTGTCCGATAGATCGGTTCGATCGGTCGCTGAACATCCTCTACGATTAATCATTCTTCGCTGCGAACGAATGACTCGCACCTACCTCGACGCGCATCGAACGTTGAAGTCTCCGATCGTCAGCGTTTTGTACACCCCACGTGGGTATAATAACGACATTTAACGCAAGCTTCATCGCAGAAGTGGAGCATACTTTGAAGACAGTACAAGGAGGAAGCCGAGTAGAAGAGAGGCACCCCTTGAAGTCCAGACAAATAGAGGAAACCTAGGAGAAAGAATATATATTCCAAGCGAAGAGATCGCTGAATGCGTAGGAACGAGTTCGTTCGTCGTCCGAATTCCAGCACGCCGGAAGTGACGAGGACGACCGCTTCCTCGAGACGCGACGTCAACATTTCCCCGTGAAGCGTGTTGCTTCGCGCGCCAGAACGCCAGACCTCAGACCCGACGACCGTTGGGTTGGTCTGGAAGTGGCTTGAGGTTGGGGGGCAAGGTGAAACGAAGAAGAGGAAACACGAAGAGGAACAAGGATGCGCTCATGGAGAATCGTGGCCTGTCGAGCGAGCGAGTGTCCCGCGAGACGCGCGCTTGGTCCTTGAAGGACATCGCGGTTTTCGTACCCTGAAGGATGGACTGGTCTCGAAACGACGAGTTTCACGCGAGACGAGCCACGCACGGTTCTTACACGACGACGTTATTGGTTATGTACGTGATTGCTCCACTTCGTCGAGGCGCCTCGCCACGGTCAGCGCACGATTATGCAGCTGAAGAAAGCGATGCTTAAGATATTCGATCAATGTGAGTGCGATGATTTTTTTACCTTGCTTTCTCGCGATTCTTCGGGGCCTTTTGTTCGATCGTCTCGTTCGTTTTCTTCTCCCGTCACGGTTTATTGTTTTCCTGTCTGACCGCGTTAAAACCGATTTCTGACGGGTGAAAGTTTCGCGGAGTTTCGCTCGCCTCCGTCGCGTTTTCTACGTACACCGCGCCGCGGTATCGCGAGATGATTAATGAGTCTGCGACAGGGTCGAGATTATTGGTCGTATTTAATATTTTGGGATTTTTTAGCAGTGTCGTCCGAATATCAGAAATAATTTTACCTCAAATAATTAGAATGAAATCATCCCCACTGTTTGTTTCCTTAGCTCGAGCGACCGTTGACTTGACCAGTCGGCACAGCTGTGAAAACAAATATCGGCTGGCCGAACTTCGAAACGATGCCTCACATCTATTCATTTGATTGCTACTAATGCAAACTAAAATTTTATAGTGTTCAATACACCTTTATATTATTAATGGATCAGCGAAATTTTCCAAGTGAAAATGAGACTAAAATCGCCGACCTTATTTAGGCTAAATTTAAACACTTGTACTTGATAGTTTTTCAAAAATGCAATTTGTTTATTGTAAATATCTTTAATTTGGATTAGTAGTTATCACACTGATACACGCGTGCGGCATCGCTTTGAAGTTCGGTAGCCGAGGGCGTAGGGCTCGTTCTTAGCAGAAACAGGCAAAATTATATGAATAAGTATATTCATTTCTACGAAATATTTAATTTCGTAATTTTACTTAAATCTTTTACCAAATAATCAGCTCATACGAGGTTGTTTATCTGTTACTCGTACGATATATTTATTTATACGACGAACACCAAACACGAGTAACGTTTTGAAGTTAAATGATAATTTATTCGAACAACATAAAGGGGCAAATAGGTATTTATTCGTTATGCGAACGATATCGCTATCTGTTACGTATTGGAGCCTTCGGCCTTGTGTTTGTTTTACAACCGTATAGATTGGCGCAATAAACTTGAGTATAATCGTATACGTACAAATGTGCGATACACATTTTCTCTCTGACATTCGCTGCAACGCCGACCAATTTAATTCGTTTCAACCCTTTCGGACCTTGGCTCCAAATGACAATTTCTTTCGAAACGGTTGCGAACAAATCGTAAACGTACAGTGTAAAATATATTGGGGGACGTAATCGCATAATTTTCTAAATATACATGTTCGTACATCATTTGCGTGGATCTTTAGACATTATATATGTATCACGGAATTATTGACTTTGAAATTTCATGTATATGTGTGCTACCGTTGAATTCGAAAAGATAAAGATAGAAAGGAAGAAAATACATAGTGACGATGTTTTATAGTGTACCTTATAATTTCTAATCAAAAAATTGTTTGAAAAGTTTCGTGGTATCGGTGATAAATTGTAACTTTTATATAAATAATTTCAGTCACTAGGTATTAGTATATTTTATTTATTTCTTATGACAATTCATATTTCATACTATTTCTTTCGAATAATTTTCCTTTTACGCTGAGAAGTGGCGCCATTTATCTCGTGTATTAATATTAAATAGCGGCTTTAACCTAATTACTTACCGATAGTAAAAATACAATTAATAATGAAATAGACAAACAATATCGCGCTGTATAATTTTTTGCAATCTCTCACATCGTATTCGAGGATCGATTTAATCTAAAAACTATAATAGAAAGGCCAAGGTTCGCAATAATCCATGCTCCGCCCGAGTAAATGTTTATTTTTAAATAATTGCCATCTCGCGTGTCCATAAACGATGTCTTCGGTACCGAATATTAATTTCAAATAATGAACGAAAATGTTGCAACGTGTATTTTAACCTGATCACTCGACGAACGCTCCTTTTATATCCTCGCATTTTAATTTTACCTATGACTGTGCGTCACACATCAACATAATTAACGATGTTAAATTTGGGACGACCCAATTTCCTCGTTAGGACCTACGCCCCCATTATTATTTCATACGCGAGCTTGAATTTTTCACGCACACGCACCCTTATTCGTTTCCTTATTAAAATATTCTCCTACGACGCCCAAAAAGAATACGATCGGGACAATAAAACGCGAGACGTGCGCTTTCGCACATTAATAATCGCGTCGAACCGAAAACGCGCGCTAATTACTTTAAAGGCAAGGCGGGAAATAATTCAAGAGTCGGAGAGTGGAGACGGAAATGTAAAATTAGCCAGATTACATATTATATGGAGAGGTATATTTAGTAATATTAAAAATGTCTTTATCGATTATAAAAATCTTCGAGGCATGGCGTAAAACGAGGTCTCCAGATGGCTGGGTCGCATAAGGAATGTGATTTTAAACGTGGAGATGTGTTTGCCAATCACTAGCTAGTCAGCTTTGAAAGTAGCGTGACTTATACAATTTTTTGTTTGGTTATTATCAGACTGCAGATGTTTATGGAAATTTGTACATACATAAATGAAGAACAAAAATTTAACTTAAAGTATGGTTTGACTTTTAAATGTTTCAACATGTATTTTATTTGTTATATTTTATATATTTAAGCATTTGTACGTTTGTCACGAATGCATAAATATTCACAGTCTAATTATTATATGTCGATTTTTTTATTTTTTATGTGTTGGAAAAAAGTATTTATTATGGAAATTCGTGTATGAAAATAAAATATGACAATTGGATGAATATCAGGGAATAGGATTTATTGAGGCTCGATTACATACTCAAGTGTGATAAATGACACTTCGTTGGCAATATAAAACAATAAGAACAACAGACACAATCGAAATAATAAAATAGGATTAATAAAGATTTATTGGTTTCGAGAGAATTACGATAAACGATTTATGGTGCTCTGCACCCGTAACTAATAAATCCCTATTAATCTCCTTCTGGTTTAAGAAATTGAAACGAGAAAAAAAACGATCGTGCATCAGGATCGAAATAAATTATGTGAACTTGTGCGCACGACTGGAGTTAAATTGCTTTTTTTTACGTACTTTACATATTTTATATGAAAAGTGCAAAATTATAACATTTTTAATACAATCGTAAAAGAAGATTTGCATTTGTCGAAAAACGTGTTTTTCTTTTCGCGGATAAATCGGAATTTAATATCGGTGATCTGGATTGAAAAATGATTGCGTGGGGAAAAGCGTACGCTGGAATGAATATTAAACATCTTCGATCCACGCTAAATTCGGAGGTGAGTCGCAAAAGCTGTGGCGTTGTATGTCAAATGTTGACGTTGGTTGTTTAATATTTATCGACGATGAAATGTACAAACTCATCCATCTAAACATATTAAAAAAGTAATCTAAAATCGAGCCTCGACAAAAATGGGGATTTAGAGTATATTGACATTTTGATTAATGAAAATCTCACGTACAAATAACAAGTTTGTCGTATTTAATTGTATAAAAATTTCAGAAATTCAATATTCTAAATCATTCCAAATTTAAAAATTTTAGATTGGAATCACAAAATTTCGTTCCCATCCAGCGTCAACGGGTCTTGAAAAATCAATAATTCTAAAATATTGTTTTTCATTTGGGTCCTTTACGTCTTCTCGTACATTTGTTCCAGGCATCGAGTAAAGTATTGCTTCAATAGATATACAACTAAATTATTTCGCATGATGTACAACACTGCAACATGCTTTTCCATCTCGACCGTGTATTTCTTAATATTTTCTCTCGAACTCAAATGTTTACATCACCTCGTGTAAACAAGTTTCCTAACTTTAGCACGTAAGTGTGTGATGCTCTTTATTGAAACAATAAATTACTCGAGCATTCTCAGTCGTGGTGCGAAATAATACTTATGCGGAGCACACTGTTCTGCGCTCTTATCTCACGCCTATCGTTTCCTCAATTTCCTCTCTCCGGAAGGCGAAATCTAGCCGGGTCAGCGGAATGAGTCGCGACGCGGGCAGCATTCCTTAAAGTAGTGGATTCCAAACATTTTGGGAACCCGTTCCCTCGACAAAGAACATCATTTCCCCGCCGCAAGTAGATGAACAAGCAATTTATGTTAGCTCATTTTCTTCGTCCATAGATTTTCGTTTCATAGAAATTAAATTGCTTCCATTCGTTCGAACCGATTGAATTCTTGATTTATGAAACGCATGGAATTATGTTCTCTTGAATGACTACACATCAGTCAAGTCTTATCGTTTCGTCGTATAGCAAATCTACTTCGTGAGGTTTTCAAGATAGAAAAGTAAACATTTGGTTAGGAACAATTGTCTCGAATTCTGTCGTTCATTTTTTTTTTTTTTTTATCGAGGATACGCTTTCGGCCTTAATCAACTTTTGGAATCGAATAGTTAAGTAGTCGAATACTCCACCATTCGACTACTTCGCTACTCGAACAACCATTCAAATAACAAATCTCCGCGTATTTCCGCTCGTCGATAAACTTCCAAGTATTCGCGGTCAGGAAATTCCTGTCGTCGAGACAATTGAAAACCCATGAAACCGTCACGTGACGTGACGGCTGTTGGCGCGGTCTCCGTTACCAATAACCCGATGCAATCGTGCTTGCAACGGATTCGCTCGCCGTGGAGTTCGGGGGAGTCTCCCGAGCGCGTTTCCGCCGCGCGTGGAAAAGAAAGCATCGCCGTCAGCGTCGTCGACGTCGCTTCACGCAGAAGGAAAAGTTTTCGTCCGTTCGAGCGGAGGAATGGAGGCGTATCACGGCCCGCTGGAAATGCAGCAGCCCGCTCGAATGTCACGTACGAAAGTATTGTATTTCGTATAACCGTTTCTTCCCTCTCCCCTTCCCTCTTCGGGGCTTGGAACGATCGCCTCGTGTGCAATAAAACGCGCGCGGTTAAGAGCGTTTCTGCGCGGACGGGCGCGTGCACACCGGAGACTTCGGGTTTGGCACGCATGCGTGCGTAACGTGACTCCTTCGTGCACAGCATGGGCTCCATTAATGGCCCCCAGGTCGTAATAGCGTAATAGCTCGACAGGT